AGAGAGAGAGAGAGAGAGAGAGAGAGAGAGAGAGAGAGAGAGAGAGAGAGAGAGAGAGAGAGAGAGAGAGAGAGAGAGAGAGACAAAGACAGAGAATCCAGGCGAGTTTGTTGCGCGGTGTGTGGCATCTGACCGTAGCAAGGCCGTCGGGATGCTAGTGTGACGTACCAGCTTGCGTACCGGAACGATCTTTTGAAGCCCTGAGTTTTTGCTGTTCCTACTCTTCTGAATTCTCTCGTTTTTTTTTTGGGTACCCCTTCCTTTTTGCTATCTCCTCAAGGCACAGAATTGCAGGCCAACCAAGCCCTCTCACATCTAAGACAATGCTTCTTTTGGATTTCTTTGCAATTTCATTTCGGCAATCTATGCATCTACGTAGGAATTACGCGCGCCTTAGCGAGGGCACTAAGAGTTTTGTTCAACAGCTGGGAACTTCAAAAATTACAGCCGCTCTTCCCGATAACGTGTCCTTTCTTGCAAGTGAATGTTCCTGCACGCGCCCTTGAAAGATTTGTGAATTTTTTATACTAACTAGATAGACGTAGGATTTTCGCGTATCCAATTTCGCGCGCTCATATTGTTTTTTCATTTTTTCAATCTTGGAGTAACTTTAAAACCAAAATGGATGAAACGTAATTGTTTCGGTGCCTTTGTTTTCTGCACTGGCGCCATGCGTGCAAACTTTCCCCCCTTCGCCTAGGATCCATGTCATATTCACCCTCCTCTTTGCACCTTCTCTCCTCCACCTGTAACTGTTTTCCATCCCCTCTCCCTTCGCGCTTCGCCCCGGCTCCTTCTCGTCTGAATCTTGGTCCCTCCGCGCTAGTTTTCTTGCTCTCCTCCTTCCCGCCTTTATCCCCATACAGGAAATCCCTACCGATCTCCTCTCATGGTTTTTGAGTCGTCAGACGACATCGTGTAAGGAGGATATTTTCTACACACTGTAATTTGATTGGCTGTGAAGAAACTCGCGGGGATCGATATGGCTTTCCCTTGGCGATTAACCCAAACACTCTCCTCATCCCCTCCTATTTCCACCTCATTCTCCTCCATCTTCTATTCCTCTCTTCGCAACTATAAAACCTGCAAGCGCGTCCGAAAAACTCTCTCTCAACTCATCTACCAGTTTCAAGGAAGTTGTGGCTAGGGTATATGCAAGTAGCGAGTCAAAAAGTCCTGACGAGCCGACTGCAGTGTCTGCATGACTGTGCGTCGGGAAGCCACGACGAACTGCGGGATCTGGGCAAGTTGGTGCAAAGGCTGAGTTGATGAGGTGACGATCGATATGGTATGCAGGTTGGTACGTGGCGGCCCAGATCGTAAGTACCTTAGTGAGAAAATGTGAGTGTATGAGTGGTTGCATGGTCATGGGTCATAACCAGAAAGCAGAAGACTGACATGCATTGATTTTTTTATCTTTTTTTTTTTGGTTCTCATAAGCTCAGGAGGAACCCAGTAAACTATATCATTCCTCGGGATACACTTGAGTCAGTATCAATAACATTTCTTATACATTATCGCAAGTGACCCAATGATGGTTTTAGTTATTCTTTTGTGAACCATCACATCTCTGTCTTTTATGTTTTTTATTCTTGACATACCTTATTTACCCCCTGCTGAATCATTTAAGATATACTAAAGAGTGTTGTTTTTGCGATGGATTTACCCCTCCCATACATGATTATAAAATTATCCAAAAGAGGTTGGTGCAACACAGCCCTGCTACTCTGTAGTTTTTTTTCATTTATGGTTTTATTTGGTTTTAGGCGATCTTTGCTTGAATTCACATGAGTTTTTGATACCCTGAGTATCAACAACACAATTCCCATGAGAAATGAAAGTTGAAAAAACATTCCATAAAAAAAAAAATCCTTCATATTTATAAATTATCATTCCAATGTTCGTTCAATGCTAAAATTTTCAGTTTTATTTGACAAGTTCCCGTCTAAATATGAATTTTCCCTTCCAACTACATCTATTTATTTAAGATGGAATGAAAGTCTTAACGAGTTCATGAAATGTTTTCATTAAATTTTTATTCTACTACAATAAATATCTTCTAATTTAGATTGGATCAACCCATTTATAAGTGAAAATCCTTACTTGAAATGACAGTCCAATTAAAATATTTCATGAACTCATCTAGACTTTCATTTCATCTCTAGCATGCAGCTAAAATACAAAGGGATACCTCATTCTCGGAAGGAAAATTTTCAAGTAAGACGAAAAATTTTAAAATTGGAATGACATTTGTTAAGATGAAATAAAATTTTAAAATTAAAAATGTAATTTTACTATAGAAGGATGATTTAATTTTGGAAATTTTTTCTGTTGACTGATTTTGAATTATTGAAGTTCCCCTAAGGAATTCTAAACAGTCTCCGTAAAAAATAGAACATCACCAAGAATTGTTTTTATTAACAATAACATACCATATTCCAATCCAAACCCTGAATGTATAGGGTAAATGCAACTTTGATATAATTCAAGAATAAGTACGCATAGAAAATAAG